GGGCGGCTAGGATCTGGAACCGACTTCCACGGGAAGTGGTGCTGGCTCCTACCCTGGGGGTCTTTAAGAAGCGGCTTGACACCTACTTGGCTGGGGTCATTTGAGCCCAAATTTCTTCCTGCCCAGGCAGGGGGTCGGACCTGAAGATCTACAAGGTCCCTTCCGAGCCTACTTCTATGATATGATTCTATGAAAATCCTAACTGTCAAACCGAGGTCAACCTATGCACTGTGAAATACAGTACTTTATTTTTTGTGTAATGATTAGGGCTGTGTGAAGCTTCAATCACTGATTCGATCCGGCAGAGATTCAGCCTGATTCAGTGGCCAAATCTCTGAATCCAAATTGGATCAGGAGACCCTTTAATCTCTCTGAATCGAATTGGAACCCTCCAAATCAATTCGGAAAGATTTGACAATTTGCACACAGACACAGTTTTTTCTACATACCTCTAGGTAACAGGCGGCTCATGAATGCCAAGATGCTGGGGCAGGGTCCCCAGCACGCTTGGCAGCAGACCTGGAAGTGGACCAGAAGCACTTCCGGTCCACTTCCAAGTCCACCTGGGAGCACATTGGGCCCCTCCCGCCCCGTGCCCCTCCCGGCTCGGTGACTGGTGCCTACTGAGCCTGGGGGGCACCTGGGGTCCCCCCGCGGCTGATCACTGAGCCAGGGGAGTGCAGGGAGGCCCCTCAGTGTGCTCCCCGGCAGACCTGGAAGTACTTGCAGTCCACTTCCAGGTTTGCTGCCAAGCTTGTGGAGGGCCCCCCCCCCCACTCCTGTGGGACGCTCCATCCACCCCAGCATCGCAGCGTTCACAAGCTGCACTGGTACTTAAAGGTATGTAGAAAAAACATTTAAATACGGCCTGTTTCGCACACCCCTAGTAATGATGTCTGCACAAATATTCCACATCATGAACTTTAACACAAGAAGCGTGGGAAATAAGAACTGAATGGCAAAAACAAGGGAGGAAAGGAAATATTTTCAGGTAATATTGAAAGGACACAGAAATAGAAAGGCAGGACAGGAGCTACTGAGAAGGCAGCTCTTACTTCATCAGTGATCTGGTTAAAGCAGGGGTGTCAAACTCATCCAGCTCTGCAAGGTAGATGAGTGGCATGAGGCTAGTCTGAAGGCTGGATCAAGGCCATGAACCCTGCCCTCCTCACCTGTCCCTAGCATATCTGATATAGCAATTGCTCCAGCTGGTTTGGGACCTGCGCTACATACATGTAGTGCAGATCCCAGAGCAGCAGTGACAGGTGCCGTGTGTGGTGCTGTAGCAGGACACTAAGGTGCCTGCTACTCTCAGAGCAGAGGTAAGAACCCACGTGTCGGTTGTTGGGATGACCGGTTAAGGAAGGAATTAGCCACACCTGCACCCGGTCAGCTGACTGGAAGAGGCAGGGCCTGGCTCCCACATAGGTCCCAGGCCTGAGGCCAGGAAGGCAGTGCCTGCCAGTAGCCAAGGGGGAAGAAACTCTCCCAGAGCAAGCAAAGAGGAGAAGCCTGACTGCAGGTACAGCCTCTGACTGGTAAGGGGATGGAGGAGGCCTCATGGGGAATCCACGGTAGCGCAGAAAGGGCGCAGTAGTTGGGATGCACTGACCCCGGCGCCAGAGAAGGCACAGCGTTTGTGGTGCACTGGCCCGAACCCCAGAGAGGGGCCGGCGAGAGAAGCCCCAGAGAAGGGGGCCATGAGGGCGCAGAGCGAGACAGGGCTGCGGAGAGTCCAAGCACCAGAGAGGGCACAGAGTGAGACAGGGCTGCGAAAAGCCTAGGGAGGACAAGGGGGGTCCAAATTACAACAAGGTCCAGATCAAACCACATCAGTATCATCTGTGAGGCTTGGGCTGTGGTGTAGGGGGGAGAAAGGAGCCGCAGATAGCGCCCCCTGGCATCGGGGCAATAAATGGGCAGCTTCCCGCTAATTACCATCTAAAAAATAATTTAACAACAAGGCGTGGCAGGAGAGAAGCCAGGCGGTTGGCCCATAACAGGAGGGCGGGGTCACCAATAGACGGACCCCAGAAGAGGCACTCCTGTTATAGGTGCAATCCAGCCAAAGCAGCTATCCCTACAGCTCTGGAACTGCACCACATGCAGCTACTATTCCAGCAAGTCTGGGACTTGCACTGCATGTGGCACCTGCAAACTGCATGTGCAGCACAGGTCCCTGACCAGGTGGAGTGGGTCGCATCACAGAGCGGATAAAACCTTATCTCCTGTCCTCTCCCTCCTATTGGTTTAGATTATAAACTGTGTAGAAACTTCTCTTAAAAAGCAAGTTAAGTACCTAGCACAATGGGACCTCATTCACACTGGGGACTGTAAGTGTTACAGCAACACAAATAATAATCCATCAAAATGTCCCAAACAAGTGTTGTGAGGCAGGCAGAATGAAAGAGTTCATCATCAGAACAGGCAGGAAGAGCCTTGAAGGGGGTGACCCATGGCTACAAATAGTATAGAAGATAAATAAGTCATTTTAGGAAACCTGAAGAGAAAGCAGAGGAAACTAAGTTCAAGGAACATCTACCAACTGGCATCTGATTGTCACAACCCAGTTAATCAGTGGCCATGCCACTAGCAAAAGATACCATTCAAGTAGTCAACTAAGGGTTAAAAAAAGAAGTCCTTGCTAGAAACTCCTGAAACAAAATCCTGGCGAAGAGCTGTATATAATTTATGCCCACGTCACAACCAAGAAACGAAACTTAAGACTGGTCAGGGTGAAAGGGGATACCCCTGCCATAAATCCCTGCAATTGGTCAAGAAACAAGCGTAAGCCCCTCATCATAACCTCATACGTAACAGGCAGAAAACCTAACCCACTACCTTGTAACCTGATAGCAACCTGAGAGCACAAAGAACTGCTGCTTGCCAGAAAATTAAAGATTCCACATAACGGTTCATCATTGGGTATCTCCGTCAGACACCTCTGTCTGTAAATAGTTTAGCAGTTTCCGCCCAAGTCGGAGAACCCCAGAGAAACCTCTGAGGAGAGACCTGAGTCCATCACCAGAGTAGATTGACGGTCTGATCAGCTGTAAATACTCCCTGTCATCGTTAATTTTGATCTAGCAAAGCCCTGCAGGCTCGATAGTCCGTTCTCGGCGTGCTTCGTTCGTCATCGCTTGATATCGTAACCCGACCTTATTCGCTCAACTGTAACCGAAGCTACTGTAACAGGATCAAAGGCTCAGCCTGTGTCGCATGTCACTATCTGGGCGACGTAAGTAAACAATCTTCTGTAACCAACACGCGTCTGTGCCTGGTTAATTTCACCCCATCCATCACTACCCGCCTGTCAGGTGAAAGTTTTACTGCTCCGGTGGGGGGGGGGGGGGGCGAAACGGTCACGTAAAAAGTTTTCTGCTCTGGTGGGGGGGGGGGGGGGTCAGAAAGCAGCTGCTGGCGCTGCTCTGATCTCCGACACTGATATGCTCATGATTTGAGACCACAAATCATGATGATGCAATCATTCAATATGGACGAAGAGTGGAGAATCCCACCCTATTTTACTACACAGAAAAATACTTGGTTCTACAAAAGACCTACTTTCTCAAAATTGAGGGAAACTGACTGGGAAGAAAAATTTGCAGAGAAAAAAAGTGAAAGAACATCAAGCACTCTCTAAAAGTTTGAGATGGCTAAAAACAGCTACAATTCTACAATCATGAAAGACAATAACTGTGTATAAAGCTCATTTTGGCTGAGTGACGTCCATCCTGATTCAAAGGCAAAGTGAAAGCAGCAGTTTGATATAAAAAAGGAATTTATAACGCATGAAAAATAGGAGAAAACAGATAGCAACTGATGTAACTGAAAGTTATGAAGTGCAGTTTCTCTTATCAATTTTCCGAAGACACCAGGGAAAAATCCCATACTAGCAGGTATAACAAAAATAAGTTTTTGATGTGTATTTACTTTATTACCAGCAAGCTACCACCAATAGCTGGATAAAATCCTGGTAAGGAGGAGGCAACATGGCAATAAAAAATATTCTACAAGTATGTTGGAGCCAAGAGGAAGATCAGAGTATAGAAGAAAGTGTAGGAGATGCAGAAGGCAATATAGTTATGGAGGATACAGGGAAGGCTGAAGCTACCAGTTGATGAGTGCAGATGGCAGCAAAGGTAGGGTAGAAGGCAAAGCATCCAAAGTAGTAGGTAAATACAAGCACCAGCATTTGCTCCATTGTAAAGATTGAAAATAATAGTTTTTTACTAAATACAGTACATGATATTATGACATATACACAGTTTTATTTGAATTCAGAAGTGAAAGATATCCCTCCCTCCAATACAAACAAGCATCCTTTAACTCAGTGAAATTTCAGAGCTCAATATAACATGCAACATATATGTTAGTTAAATTATTTTAAAAGATTATAGTAAATTTAAACCTTAACACAAGCAGTAATAATGTTTAATTTTGAACAGATTTGTTTTTTTGTTTTACAAGAAAACTGTTTAAATTAAACATGAAAAATCTGCTTTAAAAGAATTAATTGGAATAAAACAAAATGTTATTTTAGTTTTTAACTGAATTTGTATTTATGATGATTTAAATTAATGTGCATGAACATAAAGAAAATATTTCTATTTAAGCTATCCTAGGACAGGCATTAAAACACAGCTAACTAAAAGGTGCTATGGATGAATTAGCATGAAGCTTTCTACATGATACATATATTGTATTCCTGAAGTGTGGTTTGAAGCAAGAAGCAAACATTGTGCAGTCACATTTATTGTAGGATATTAAACATCTCTGCATATCCCCAGTGGGTCCCAGCAAGACTTCCTGGACGAGGTTTAGGAACCCATTTGAATAACTCACTGTTTCAATAAATTAAAGTTATGCTACTCAAATGAATTATATTCCCTCTCTCATACTGGAGGCGTCTGACCATTACCTTTCTTAACTGTATCTAACCTACTTTTCTTAACAGAGATGAAACCATCATGAGCCAAACAAGTACCTTCTCCACAATTCCCAGATCTCCTCCTGCCATCACTTTTCTGACAATTGCTGCTGCTTTCTCGGCGACAGAATAGGCAGAGGCAACTAGGCGCATCAACAAAGCTGGAGAAGCCATAATGAATGCTGAAGGAAGAAAAAGCAATCTTGTGAGTGACACTGACAATACTATATATCACAAGTTTGACAAACTAATACTCAATGGAAGAAAAGGAATCCCACAGGAAAATTAGATTACACTGGTATGTCTGGAATGTTATTTATCTAAAATAAAACCGTGTTTAGATGAATGCAAAGTGGACACCAAAATAATATATGGAAGTGGGAGTGTGGCAGTGCACCTTTGGTGCCTGCCACTTTAAGGGCTGGGAGCAGGCAGCCGGCAGGTGCTTGATGAAGATGGCCATTTTAGGGCCCAGTACACAGGGCTGGTGCAGCAGTTTGCTGCCAGCACCCAAGGAGGTAACATCAGGCTGAGCTGCTGCTCGTGGAACAACGTGGAGATAAGGGCAGGAGCTATGGGGATGGCAGAAGGCTCCTGGTCCTGACTTGAAACTGCACCTTGCTAGGGAAGGGGGGGTCTGGCAGAACTGTCTGTGGCAGGACAGCCCCCAAGATATACCAGATCAGATACCCTCCCCCGTGAAAGGCAGGTAAGGGAGTCTTAACCTTAGCCCTACCATGTGGTGGGTAATTGTGAGAGCAGTGGAGGCCAGACATGCTAACAAAGAGGCACCTGAGCCTAGCAGAGGTGTAAGATCCTGGCTGGGGTAGTATTGGTGTTGAGGCCCGCACAGAGTAGGGTGGAAAGAGGCACTCAAAAGACTGTGTGTGGGGGGTGCAGAGTAGGGCTGCAAGGGCAGCTTGAAGGGCAGTATGTGGGCCAACGCCCATGAGTGAGACAAGGATCAAGTTGCCTGGTGAGGAGCTACAGGCAGAGTCAGCCCAAGGTTCAGCACAAAGATAAGGCTATGTAGAGTATCGAAGCTCGAGTGAACCAAAGGTGCTGCGTGTGCCATGCCAGAGTGAAAGTAGTAAAGCCTGATGGCCAAAAGGGGTTGCTCCAGGGAGCAAGGCAGTAGAGAGTGGCTCAGTAATGGGCAGTATGCTAGAGGTACCTGTGAGAGGTGGACGGTGTGAGTGTGTAAGAGGCCCAACAGTGGACTGAGTTTGTCCCAATCTGAAGTTGGGGAGCGATAATAATCTGGATGCCATCTGCAAGGCATGGGCCACAGTATAGGGCAGGTACAGACCCATGGATAGCACCCCCTGGCATCGGGGCAAGGAATGGGCAGCCTCCCACTTATGTTACTACCTAGAACATCAAGTCGTGGCAGATGGGACAGGGCAGACTGCCCTAGACAGGTGGGTGGGCTAACATAAGACCCAGCCCTGGGGCAGCCCCGTCACAATTAAATTAGCAGGCAGGCATGTCAAGACACACAATTGTTGAGATGAGATCTCATCTTGTCATTAAATGAATGTCTACCAGGGGCCAGAACTTCTCTATAAGACAAAGTCCCAGCAATTCAATTTACAGGATTACTGGTTTGCCCTATTTGGGAGGAACAGAGGCTGTGTACATACATTCAAATGATCTGGGAGAAAATACTTAAAGGAAAAAATTACATTTTTCTCTGAAACTAGCAGCAGCAGGCTCAGCCCAGGCATGGGCTGCCCCAGCTGACCTTGAAGATCATGATTACGCCAGATTCACAGTCCCTGTGGGCCCCCTGAAACCTGCTCATGGACCCCCAAATGAGAACTGCTGCCTTAGAGCACCAAGCGCTGCAGTCCAGGTAGGAGGTACCAAGTTTGCCGGGTCAGTGACAGGGCCTGGGGGTTTACCAGTTCAGTGATGGGGCTGGGATGGGCTGCCAGCTCAGTAAGGAGCAGGAGATTGGCTGTGGCTGAAAAAGCCAGGGGCAAAACACACCCCGTTCAGTGCTTCAGTGCTGAGCTTTTCCAGTCTGAAGCACTCAGGGGGCATATTCCTCTCCCTGCTTAGCTGGGATTGCCAGTCTCTCTGGACCTGTGAAGGGGGAGGAGAGGAAGCAAAGCTTACTGGGTTTCTGGAGAACTGCTCTGCAGCTTCACACGGATGGGTACCTGGACAAACTTTTGGTCTCCCAAGAGATAGTCTCCTAGGAGCCATTTCATTCAGGTTGTTCCCAAGTTATTTCTCTCTCAGGCCATTGCTGGTCTGGGAAAAAAAATCATGAATATCTATAGACTCATGGTTTCTCATGGGAGAGCACCAAATCTCCCAAGAGAAAATGAACATCTATGCATAGCCAGAGTTTTATTATTTCTCTCTCTCAAGTTACTATGATGGTCCGTATCACTCTACTATCTACAGAATTAGAAAGACTGGCTATCAAACAGTAAGCAAGTCCCAACTCGTCACAGTAGAGAGCTGCTGCTCTACTCTAATGGATCTTGGTGCCTCCTGAATATCTGTTTAAAAAACTGAAGAAAACGTTTCTAGAGAAGGCAATTTATTTGCTCTTTCCTGCTGTCAAGTTTTTGCTAAATGCTTCAATATCCAGCTCTCGCCTTGTGTACCTGCACCTCTTGGTTTTGATCAGTGCTTTAATTTGACCACTTAAGGGAAGCCACCTATTTCCAATTAATGAATGATCATTCCAAGTTAACTATCTGACCCTATATGTAGGCACTTCAGCCCCCCATATTCTGGCTCCCACAAGTAAACTCCAATTACTTCTTCTTATCCACCTGGTTTCAGGAACTATGATCTTTTTTCCATCTTCCTTCTCTGCTTCTGCAACATCGTGACCCTTGCATTTTCTTCATGTTCTCCCTCTTTGCCTGTGTCAGAGCCTGTTTCCCAGTTTCCCCACACCATTTCCATCATCTCCCATTCACTGTTTCTGCTCTTGTTTTCCCATTCCCTGTCTCTAGGGACCTATTTAAATTGCGGTAAGACGAGGGATTTTTTGTGGCCTGCTCACAACACGCACAGTCAATTTTGCAGGCATTTTGCACCGGTCCTGCCCCTTGGTACTGATTGGTGGAGAGGCCCCAGCAGGGGGAGGAGGGACAAGGGGCCAGCTGCCCTTCATGCTGTCCCCCTAGCCAGTGCCTTCTGTTCCCAGCAGCAAAGACCGCTGGCTCCAACTGTGGAGCCAGCATTTTTTTGTTGGTGTTGATTTTGCAGATTTCACAGGCAATCCAAGATTTTGTGGTTTCCACTAAATCCATGAAATTACAAATAAAGTAGATCCCTACCTTTCTCTTCTTCCCATATCCCTCTCTATTTTCCTGTGCCTGCCTCTGCAACAGATATTCCCACTTGTTTTCTTTCTTTTGCTCAGACTAAATATGGAGAGTTAGGGAAGGTAATACTAGATGAGAGCACCCTGAATTCATTCCTATTCAAAGTAGCAGGAAACAGTGGCCATTTTGGTCCAGGGTAAAAGTTCATATGATTGCTCTTAATGAGGAGCTTTAAATAAATATATCAAGGTGGGACTTGTGATAATGTTAAACGAGTGTTGAGTTCTGCTAGCGTAAGTTTGCTTGGGTTTGCAATTTGTACAGTATGATGGGGCTGATTATGATTCATGCCTGGTGTTCCCAGGCACCACAGAAATCCAAATAATAAATATAGTGAAAACACTACACTTGTACATAAATTCTTCTTTTCTAACTCAAGGCCCCCACAGCTCCATTTTACCCCCCATATCCATGGTTTTCTTTACCCTTGTTGCCATCCTCAAAGAAACCCATCAAAAATCTGCATATACCCTACTGTATGCCTTCATACCTTCTACCTTAGATGTTCACTAGATCTCTTCAAGCTATTTCACCATGCCTTCAAGTTCATTCCTCTTGAAACAAGTGACTGCATTTCTTCTACAAACCAACTTCCTTCACACACTGAACAAATGAGCGTTTACAATCCCTTCCTGTATTTTTAAACCCCAAAGCTAACAGGATATTGGGTTTCTACGTTTCCTTCCTGTCTTTCCTTCCCATTTTTACATTTGTTTGTCTCCTACTTAGATGGAAATGGTTTTGGGGTATGGCCATAATGGGTGCTTTACTTGCATAATAAAATTTCTTAGCACACTGTTGAAGAAATATCTTTACGTGTAGAAAACACAGATACAGAGGAACCCATTAAATCTCCACTAAAAGCAGAGGAAAGATGTCAAGATGCAGATAAGTCAAATGGGTGCAGAAGCTACGTATGTGGCAACAGCTCACAATCAATTATATTGCTTATTACTTGAGAAATTCGTTAAATATTATAAGGCATAATGTAATTAAGTGATAAGACCAGCTACTGTAAAGGTTGTTGACGTGACCTTAAGTTCATTTGTCTTTGGCATAAACTCAAATAATACTGCTAGAGTTACTGAAGTCCCAACCTTTGGAGCTTTGCCAATCTGTGCTAATATTTTAAAAGCATGCATTTTTTTTAAATATAAATATCTGAAGGCCAAGAGATTACCAAACCTGGAAAAGCAAGTTGGCTGTACAGACACACAAAATTCACTGGGGAAACACTGCTTCCTCTGAATGTTAATAAGTAGCCACCATATGGGTTCAGAGTACTGTAGACAGGGCCATCCCTGCGGGGGTGCAAATCGGGGCGACCATCCTGGGCCCCACGCTTTGGGGGGGGGGGGGGCCCGCAGTGCCGGGGGGAACAGCTGCAGCAACTCCACCCTGATGCCAGCTTCATGTCCAGCCGCTCGGCACCCCCCAGCCCCGCTGCCAGCTTTCTTACATCCGGGGGAGTGGGGCCCCACACAGCTGATTTGCCCTGGGCCCTGCACCCTCCTCAGCCAGTCTCTGGCTGTAGACCAGCAGTGTCAAACATATGGCCCATAGGCCAGTCCATGGAGCCCTATGATCTGTACTGTGAGTCCCTGGCTCACCCCACACACTGCATGCAGCACGACTCTGGTGAGCAGGCTGGACCTGGCACCATGAGCATTGCATGAAGCACAGGGGGTCAGTTCAAGGCATGCACTGCATGTGGTGCCCGTGCCAGAACAGATGGGAGTTGCTGAGCTGGTCTGAGAGACAGATTGGGACCATGTACTGGAGCCAGCATGCCGGACCAGGCTGGTGGGGCACTGCAAGCAGCGCATTCCCCATGCCAGCCTCATGAGCTGCA